ATCAATAACATAAAACAAAACATCAACATCAAGAGAATAATAATAAGCCTCGTCTCACGACGACCCTTAACTCGCAGTTAGCGTATCTACACGGCGGCCTACTGCGAGTTTAGCTTAAACCTCGCCAGCTTCGACCGCAGGTAAGCTAACTCGAGTTACCTTAATCTCCCGACGTTAGCGAATAGTACATAACTCCACGATATTGTGGCAACGCCTGTACGATGTACGTACAACACGCACGCACGCACGTCTACGTGCACATGCATGCACGCACGTGCTAACCGCTGCACACAACACGCACACACGTCGCAGCAACGCACACATGCAACACACGGTATCCCTGCACAAGCACGGCACCCGCACGGCCACGAAGCGTGTACACTGCACTACCGCGCACACGACGCAACGGCACGGTGTACGCGTGCCACACATCACGTACGCCACGGCACCGCACGCACGCAACGAGAACGTGCTACGCTACACACGCACGCACCGCACGCACACACGCACGTACTACGTGCCACATAGCACACGGCACGCACACAACGACGCACACGCACGCGGCCCGTTCGTACGTGCACACACGACGCCACGTACGCCACATTCATGCACACACGTGTTCCTGCCACAAGCACCCCACGCACCGCACGACGGTGTACCTGCTACTTGTTTATTGACGGTAGTTTATTATTCGCTTGTAATTTTTGCGAGCAGTTAAATTAGTTGCCAATTTTATTTGCCAGCTAGTGTAGTAAAACGCCACTGTTGGTTATTTATCACTTTTTACTATTGTGGCTAATGCCAGTGGTACCCCTGCTAGAAATTTAAGAGAGACCTGTGATTTTGTTCTGCTTCAGATAACAATACCAATGTTCAGTGACTAGATGAAGGAGCAGTGAGTGATCATACCCTACTAAGTTTGGCTCACCAACAGCAAACCACACTGGAGAGCAAGTTGGCTTAGCAGATGATGGAAATCCCAGAAAATGTAATAGATGAATTCCTTAAAGAATGTGAGGTTATTGATAGCATCGAAGATGACCTTGAAGATATTGAAACTAACTTCCTGGCACAGGAGGAAGGTGAGTGTGGCAGTGTAACAAGTTATGCAAACATACTACTGGGGCCGGCTGTCAGAAACGTTGCAAACATACGCCTGAAGTTATTGCTATGATAATTTTTATGTCTGATGTTAAGATACACGTTTTGTGATCACGAGATAGTGTATTCAACGTGTTTATTATGAAAATATAGGTTTTACAAATGTTTAATAATAAATATAATACCAATATTATTGCAAGTTTTTCTAGTAATATTGTTTAATGGTTACAGGGGGTTCTGCTGTAAAGTTATGAGAAAATTTTCTAGGATTTTTAATTCTCTTAATTTTACAATGTTTCTGTCAGCAGTAGATGAGAAATATTTATGATTATGACGGATGGTAAGACTAAAATGTTTCTGACAATGGCCCCCTGGATCGTGTAAACTTAAAAGTTAATGTATTTATTTAGTTCAAAGTTGTATACAATTTTAATTTTGTTCAAAGTTGTATGTATATTCCAATACTTACCTTATTTTCCAGTGCATATATGCAATTGCAAAATGGTGTCAATTACTAATAATACCCCTAATTTCCAAATTTGAAATTGTACACATTTATTGTTGTTTAGGCTTTAGACAGTTCCTGGGAAAGAATGTGAAACTATTTTGGCCTTACCTGCACTCGTCTGATCGCAGAATGATGTAGTTGTTGCTGTTCATTGTTGCAGCGACCGTCGCTGCCACCTTACAGTACATTGTTACAGCGACCATTGCTGCTGGTTTTCATACAGTGTTGCAGCGACTGTTGCTGTTGGTTTGCGTTAGTGATGTCACGATCATCGTTTATACTCGATGATCGGTTGAACAGTGGCTCAAACCAAGCGCTTGGTTATCAAAATCCATAATCAATTTCATCAGAAAAAAAAAATTGAAATAAATGTAAAACTATTTTAGTTCGGGAATCACCCGACATTCGCCGTAGTTACTTCCTGTTGAGGGGCTAAATCCTAGGACACACTAGGGATTTTATACGCTGGCTAAACAAGCACATATATGCACACGTACATGCACACAACGTTACGCACATGCAGGCATTCAACACCCCGAGTAACCGATTGTAACCGATTGCAACGATCATCGCGTTACTTGGTCAACTGATGCATCGATTACGAAATGGTACAAGCGATTGACAAGAACGGGTTTGCGTACATTGTTTCAGCGAGCCATGCGCTGCCACGCTCACAGGTCATTGTTGCAGCAACCATTGCGCCCACCTACAGGTACATTGTGTGTGCAGCGAACCGTCACTGCAAGCCTATGCAGTAATTGTTGCCAGCGACCGTGCGCTGCAGCCTTGCAGACATCAGTGCATCGCAGCAACCGTCGCTGCCACCTTACAGTACATTGTTGCAGCGACCGTCACTGCAGCCTTGCAGTACATTGTCGCAGCGACCGTCACTGCAGCCTTGCAGTACATTGTTGCAGCAACCGTCACTGCACCTTGCAGTACATTTGTGTGCCACGACCGTCGCTGCACGCTTACAGTACATTTGCAGGCAAGCCGTCACGTGCAGCCTTGCCGAGTACATTGTTGCAGGCAACCGTCGCTGCCACCCTTACGGTACATTGTTTGCAGCCGACCGTCACTGCCAGCCTTACGTACATAATAAAAAAAAAACTGTTGCAGCGACCTGTCGCTGCCACCTTACGAGTACATTGTTGCCAGCGACCGTCACTGCCCAGGCCTTGCCAGTACATTGTTGCAGCGACGTCGCGGTCCACCTCACAGTACATTGTTGCAAGCGACCGTCACTGCAGCCTGTGCAGCTAATGTGTCGCAGGACGGTCACTGCCAGCCTTGCGAGATAATTGTTGCAGGCGCACCATCACTGCAGCCTTCAGTACATTTGTATGCGAGGCAACCGTCACTGCAGCCTTGCAGTACATTGTTGCAGCGACCGTCGCTGCTGGTTTGTGTTGCGGTTTCCGTTGCTGCTGCTTTGTGTTGGTGTAGTGACCGTCATTGCTGCTTTATGTTGTCGTGGCAACTGTCGCTGCTGCTGCACGTTGTTGCAGCGACTGTCACTGCAGTTGTCCATTGTCACGGTGACCGCTGTCACGTTTCAGGCGAGGAAGATGATGACGGCGACATCCCAAGCGACATCGACATGCTCTTGGAGGAGGAGGAGTTCATGGAACTTGACACATACGATGCTGACAACGACGACCTCGCCTCCCAAACTGTCACTGCACGGTCTCCCATTGTTGAGCTCGGGGACGTTGCCGCGGCGACCGCGAAGGATGCGGTGGACGATGTGACACGGGTTAGGAAGGAGGGGCGGCGGCCCGTAGTCATACTGCAGCGGCTAAACCCAGAGGTGATCGCGGCGACAGAAAATAAGAAGAATCAGAGTGGCAGTGGCGGTGGGGGGAAGCCGGAGGTGGAGGAGACGAAGCAGGAGATGGAGAAGGTCAAGCACCAGAAGGAGGTGCCCAAGGATGCAGGAGAGAAGGCAAAGCACGAGACATCAAAAATCAAGCATTACACAGAGAAGCTGAAGCATAAAGCGAACAAGCAAAAGTCAAACGAGGAAGCGAGCAAGAAGCCCGCGTTCGAACTGTCCGCGAAGGAGAAGCCAACTCTGAACACCACGAAGGGAAACGAGGGGAAGGAGATGGATATAAAGATAAAGCAGGAGGAGAGGGAAAAGGCTACGCACGACGGCTCGCACGTGGAGGTGACAACAACCTCAAAGCAGAAGCCCCACATCGAGTTGAAGAATTCTGCGGCATTAAAAAAGAAAACCTTAAAGATCAAGGCAGAGTACAAGGGTACTATGGCAAAAAAGTCGCAGGAGGAAGCTGCCGAGAAGGCAACTGCCGCACTCTACCAGCCGAAGAAGGTCGAGGCAGAAAGAAAGAGAGAGGACTTTGAAGCGAAGGGCACGACCGTGACGAATCCGATGGAACTGCACTGCAGCACCTGCAGGACGTACGTTACAAACAAGGAGGTACGTAACCTCACATAGTAATCGAGTAGTGTTGATAGGATATATATAGTAATAATATATGGTAATAATAGTAATGATAAATTCGATCGTGATAATCGTACGGTAATTGTCGTCACGGGCACAGTTCTTGGCTAACCTAACAGCGGCTGTGGAATGGTCTACAACTTTTTAGCGGAAGCACGAGTGCATGTTGTGAAATTACACACTTTGCTGTCAGTGTAGACCTCTTTTTGACAATGACCATAACATTACATAATTCAGGCTATCAAGTATAAATTCTCACAGGGTTCTCACCAGAAATTTAAGAAGGCCTGTAGTTAATGGATGGATGGATGGGGATGCGTTGAAGCAGTAGGGAGAACCTTTACCATGAAACAGTTCATCAGCACTTGCACTCAATGCAGTACGTCACTAGCTCACTCTATCAGTGCAGCAGTGTCATTTGTTGATCAGCACTAACTACTTGTATGAATTAATGTGGAATCCTAAGTGTTACAACAGCTGCTGTTCTCTGTTAACAGGCTATGGACAAACATCTAACAAGCATTAAGCATGCACTTATGCTGATGAGGACACTCTTTCAAGGTCAAATGGACCAGTTTTATAAGGACATAACAACTCTGGAGAGTGATAGTCATTTCTACAGGTGCAAGGTATAGTGCATACATACTTTAACTAAAATAGAGCTAGAAATCTTAGTAAAACAACTACTAATATGCTAGCTGTATATTTCTGCGTATAAGTCAACCTGGCGTATATGTCAACCTAAGGATTTTTAGCTCACAATTCAGGGTTAGTTACATGTACAGTATACGTGCTGTATTAAGTAGACCGTCTTTACCGCATTTGCAAACAGGTTGATACAACTAGTTTGCTTATCATGTACCTCAGTAGGTCATTATTACCATATAACTATTATACGTTTTTAAGCATTTTGTCAATATAGTATACCATAACTGCCTTGTTCAACAAATATCAGTTGCATGACATAGTAACTTAGTTAACACTGGTACAGATTTTAATGTTGTAAAAGGTGTTAGTAAGTGATAATAAGTATGAACATTAATATTGGCTATGTTCGGTAACAGTAACCCCGCTTGTAAAAATTACATCATTAGGTAAATCTTGTTTGCGAGTGCTGGAAATAAACTTGTAACCTGTTACCAAGTTAAAAATCTAAAATTACAGCAAAATTAATGTCTGATGCGGAGTAGCGATGCAATTTTTAGAGGTTGATGTTTTATACTTATGTATAAAATAATCCCTAGGGTTGAAAACAAAAAAAGTTATATAAAATAGTTGCACACACAAGGGTTGTTGATCGATTTCACATCTAATTACATATATGTGTATTTTGAAAAATCTTATATTACATCAGTAATTTCATAAAAATCGTAGTAACTCTATCACTGCAGGAAATGCGTCCATTAGATTTGTGATTGTTAACCACATCTATAAATTAAGCTTGGCTATTGTCGTTTTCAGGTTTGTGTTAAGGTCTATATGGGAAGCAAAACGTTCCTAGACCATCTTGAGAAGAACATTCATTTTCAGAATGCTGCAGCAAACACTGGTACGTGTGAATATCCATGTCCCTCACATAATCATCAATTGATATATACAGATCTGTGAATTTAAAACACGGCGACACCCATTTGGTTACTGTTGGCTAGAAGAATAACAAGTGAGGTCCAAAATCCACTTAGTTTGTCTATCAGTAGTTTCATGACCATGGCTTTATGTTTCAGAGACTCACCAGGCATATATTTTACACCAGCCCTCTGAGATCCAGGACATTGTGGACAAGATCACCAATGATTACCTAATCGGTTAGACACGCACGATATCCTGAGATCACACTGAGTTTCTTGATACAACCAAACAAAGAATAGAACTTGCTTCCAACATATAGCCGTGCATTTAATTTCCTTAGAATGATAAAAGTTATAGATCTTAATCAAGCAATGTATTAAATGTACATCCATTAGAATCATCTTCATCCTATAACATTAGATCTGTAATCAATTGAGGGTCGTCGTCATAGCGATTGTAAAACGTTAATGTCTGGTGACAAAGAAATGTGTTTGCGATGTAAAAGGGCTGCTTTTGACTCTCCCTTGTAAAAGGGGACATGTCTTTCTGCATGTCTATGCTTTGCATGTCTATCTGCAACAAAGGGAGTTAGTGGTCACTGCAATTGTAACCTCTCCTAAAAAATATCAGTTCATCTAAGTCCTATAATCATTGCCCTATCCATTTTGATTGATTGATATGTAGCTTTGGCTAAACAGCATGGTTGTGGCAGTGATCTAAAAATGGTGCTTAATGGCACAGTGCTGCAATGACGACACTTTGGTGAGCATTCATAAAAAAACATAAACTGGTCTAGCTTGAACAAACTAGCAGAAATATCCAAGCGGACTGCGGGTTATTGCGCTCGAACAGATTTGTTAATTTATCTCCGATTTTATCGTTGAATTGTTGCTCGCAGGTCTGGAGCACATTGTCTTTGTGACGAAGCCGGTACTCGAGTGGCCACCGCATATGGAGTGCCTGGCCTGCAAGTCAGGCTTCCGTCCAACAGATCTGCCCAATCACGTCTGCACGACGCACCACAGGACAAACATCATCGTGAGTGTCGGCGCAACTCCATTTCCCTTCCCGTGTCTCTGTCCGTTCCCCGTGAACTCGTGTGTGAGATTTAAGTGTAATGACATGCTGTCGTTGCGCCTCAACATTAGGTTGTGCATGATGTAAGAAAAGGGTCATCTCGTCGTTAGGTCCCGCCACTAATGTGGCGATTACCGCCGGTTGTTGACATCTTGAACATAGCAGTAGATCATCGCTAACTTTAAAGCTTCACAGCGTCGAACAATAAGCCAGTTGGTAACGAGCCAATCTACGTGGGGATAGTGCCATAGTGGATTTGTAACACGTAGAGCTGGCCCAGCCCTCGACTTCTCACACACACAATTAAGTCTGGAACACAGCAGCGAAGTCACGCGCTGCTACGTGTCATGATTTTTCATCTAGCGCCCCCGGCGTATAGCATTCGTTGTACTGATTTGAGTCAATCTGTTTCAGGAGTTCTTCTATCCTGAGTATTTTTTGAAGCTGAAGGAAGCCATGTTCACGTCCGGCGCAGCGAGGGACCTGGCCAAGCAGATAGAGGAGAAGTACGGGCGGCAGAAGCTCAAACTCAAGGTCGGCAAATAATCCGCTTCTTCTAGACCCTTCGACATCTCATTCAACTCTAGATATAATAAGATAAGTTTAGGTGATTGACGGTTTGCGCCTTCGACATATTATCCAATTCTAGGTCTAATAGGATAAGTTTAGATGTTTAACTGTTCGCGCCTTTGACATCTGATGGTCTCTCTGTTATTAACAGGTCGTTGAGGACACCCTGGAGAGTATTCTGGAGAGGGGACGGAGCGGCGAATTCTACACCTATGAGAAGTATCGCAAGAACGCGCTCTACAGAGGTCCCACGCCTGAGCGTTCGGTCGTACTCGGTAGGTCGAGATTCTTCACTGTTAGCACGTTGACGATCGCCGTGTGCGTAACATAGGGAAGGTCGGACACGAGAATTCTTAACAAAGTATGACTCCTGCTGATGTTAAAACCTCATACCGTACATACGCTAGACAACATCAACATAGTCCTAACCCCCTAGCCTGTAATCCTAACCTTACCCCTAACCATTAACCCTAAACCCAACTCTAACTTAACTAATCTAATCCTGGCCCATCATGTATGTACAGCAGTCCCAAATTCGGCTTCTCCCAGCGTGTAATTTTATGGTCGTTATGTGCCACTGCGTGTCGATCCACCAACCATCACATCCTTCCCTGACCTCGGCATCCCGCGTCATCAAATCGTTCGCTCGCCCGTAACGCGACCTATCGCTGTCGCAGCACAAACGGAGGAGAGCACCAACAAGCATCGCGGGAAGAAGCCCCTCGAGGGGAAGAAAGATGCGGGCGAAGGGCGGCCGCGCCGCGGCTCGTCGTTCGAGCGGCAGGAGGCGTCGAAGCGGAGCAGCAGCGACCAGCCATCGGACGGTATGTTGACCTCTGTTTGTTCGTTAGCCGTCGACCAGGGAGGTACGTACGGCCGTGTGTTTGTGTCCTTGTGTCTGCGGTGTAGCACCACGTGGTTGAGGAGCCCGCTGTGTAATTATCTGATCATTGACATTGAATGACGAACCTTTCTCCAGATTCGTCTAATCACATTCTTACCGGAAGTGAATCGCATAATGTCTTGTTGTCCTAATAATTGAATTGTTTATGAGGAATGTACATGGAAGTGTTACGTGCATGACACATAAGTCGACGATTGCACCCTAGCTGTGTTAGTGATCGGTTGCCGAGGATTTCGTTATCGCTGTAGAAACGTTGCCGTCCCTCGTTAATTTGTTGCTCATTTATATGTGCCCACCTCTGACGGTGCTTGTGGTCACCCGCTGCCCATGGAGAGCGTTGTTTTACCCAAGATTTTCAACGTCATTCGAGTGGAAATCTTGACATTGTATATCAGTTAAATGCTAACGTAGATTGCAACTCCATTCACCAGTACAATTAATCACTATACTACACATGATCCTGGGCTATTGGTATTGATGTATTAATGCCAGGGCCCGATTCGATCTAAATAACTGTTTTTAATTGTTATGTCACGTGCCACTTACTAAAGATACACGCATGCCCCTGACCAAATGAAAACGTCATTTCTTGGCTAATATATGGCACCGAAACTTTTTCCTTCAGTTGCTGCACATCTTACTTAGTTTTTGTCAAGCTGCTAGAGCTGGTGACAATTTCTCAGGCCTCATCAGATGATGATGTCATTGAACATTCAAGGGAACACTCAACATGAATACGAGATAATTCAGATCAAATGATCCCTGGATCCAGATATAGTTCTGAGGTCAGATAGATCAAAGAACAATGCGAAGAGCGAGGGACACCTCCATACAAGTGTGCAATTCAATCGCAAACAGATATCTTCACTGTGACATCCCCAACATGAAATCCGCAAAGAAAAAGGAGATATCAATAACACTTGGAGACTGAAGCAGAGCACATGTCTATCAGCTACTTTTGGTAAGGTTTAAGATACTAGGTTTAGGAGACTGCACAGAGCCGATTTCACTGAAGTTCATCGTTGATGGTTCATAATCATGCTCTGCGTAGAGCGACAGGCCGAACTGCCTAAATCTGGTTTACACACATTTACATAAGAACAGTTACTACTGAAGGAACCGCATGGTTAGTAGCCTAATGGTCGGTGATAGCAGGTGAAAACTTGAGCACACGCGGAGGAACGCATTACTGTTGATGCCGGAAACAGCTCTACGCCAATAGCACTGCTGCTAGAAAGTATCTTACGGTTCAAGCTGGAGTCGATGTGTGAGCGTACAAGGTGATGCCGTGTAACGAAACCCACACAGGGATAAAACATCGCATCATCCCTTCTGCGCTGGGATGTGTCTGCATGCGTGCGACTCCGCATTCTGCTGTGGCACATCTCTGACCGTCTTCATTTCTAGTTCGTTTGCGCGACTTCGATTGCCATTTTCAGAAGGATTCAGAACGCTGCCCGGTATCTGTCCGCCTCGCAAGGCGAAAAACCGCGACCTGATCACACTGAATATTTTCTGTCGTGGGGTAGATGGATGATTTTGGCACAGTAGGGCCATCATTGCTGAAAACGTCTCAGCGAATGTGCGCCTCATTGCATTGATCTGTCAAACACCGCAACGTCCATCGACAAAGTGGAGCAGCACAGATGTTTGTGAGTTTGTGAGCGCAGATATCCCCGCTATGCATACACTCAACACTCAATGTTGGTGATGGCCCGTGGTAGTCATAGAATGTGGGGGGGGGAACTGCATTACTAACGGAGGCTCCGGTATTTCCCAAGTATCGTGCAGTCGTTTTGTTCATCATCCACCTGGTTTCCCTTTTTGCAGATGAAAATATCAAACGTCAAAAAATGCAGCAGAACAGGAACGAACCGCCCCAGTGGGGAGGAGGAAGAGGAGGGGTACAGAGAGGAGCATTCACAGGGTTCAGAGGAGAAGAAGAAGGAGGAGGAGCAGTCACTAAGGGTAGAGGAGGAGTAAGAGGAGGAGTTGCAGGCTTCAGAGGAGGAGCCAACGCAGATAGAGGAGGAGTCAGAGGAAGAGGTGCAGCCATCAGAGGAGGAGGCACAGGATTCAGGGGAGGAGGTCGAGGAAGAGGCTCGCGCAACTGGTTGGAGCCGCAACACCAGAACTGGGACGGTGGTGCGCAGCCCAACAACAACCCGGGGATTCTGCCCGACCCCATCTACCCAATACTGCAGCCCGGCGCCTCCCTAATCACCACCTCCCAGGGGCTCATGCCGGACCCCAACCAGAACGTCTTCATCGACAACGACGTCGAAGACCACTACGATTACAACAGAAGCAGCGGAGGAAACCACAGCCAGCAGCAGCAGCAGCGTGAGTGGGATTGTGAGGGCAGCGGAGTGAGGGAGAAGCAACATCGCGCGCCCCTCCTCGGCGATGCCCCTGACCAGCGAACCGCTTCTTATAACAACCCCGATCGGCAGCAACCGTACCGCCAGCAGCAGCAGCAAGGGCGTCGGGATGCCGGAAGGTCGTACCGCGATGCGGAGGACGTCTCTCCTGGATCGTTCGGGGATGATCCCGACTGGGACAGGAATGACAGGATGAGGAGGGATGAGGGAATGATGCGGGATGAGGGAATGATGCGGGATGAGGGAATGATGCGGGATGAGGGGATGAGGAGGGATGAGGGGATGAGGCGGGATGAGGGAATGAGGGGGGACAAGGGGACGCGGTGGGATGATGGGATGAGGCAGGATGAGGGGATGAGGGGGAATGAGGACACATATGAGGACCGGCGGAGATCCGGGTTTGTGCAGACGCACGAACGCGACTGGGACGCCAATCGCTGTGAATACACCGATGCCGGACCCGACGAATTGCAGCAGCAGCAGCGCTGGGAGGAGGACAGCCCTAGGGAGTCCCAGCACCATGGAGACCGTTTCCCCGACGACCGCCGTGGCGGCCGGCGTGATGGCGGCAAGAGAGAGGGCAAGACGCGGTGGGGCGTGTGGGACGCACATGACGGGTCTGCCACGAGGGACAGGAGTCAGGGAAACCCGGAGTCTTCCTCTCGCTGGAAACCGCAGGATGGAGGAAGCCGGCAGATGCCAGCGAAGAGTCGAGGACTGCTTCCGAAGCCGGGCCTTCTGCCGCCACCAGGACGGGAGCAGCGGCGGTCTAGCAGCTGGGATAGACGGGCGGCGTCATCACCATCGGAGGATTGGGAGAAGAGGGATCGATCCCGCGGGAAGGAGAGCAGTCGCGAGCGGTCGAGGCAGGATCGCGGCCAGCGGCGCTCGGACAGCCGGGAGCGCCCGCCGCCGCGTCACACGCCGGAACCACTAGGTGGCGCCACGCCGCGCGTCTCGCATGAAGTGATGGACCTCGCCGGGCAGATCCAGGTCGCCATGACGACGGGCAACGCGGCGGCGCTCGGCGAGCTGCAGAAGAAGCTGAACGCGATCACGAGCAAGATTCAGACGGTGACGGCTCGCGACGCAAAGGGCACCGGTGCTGCCCTTATGTCGGCTGTGCTCAACCAGCTGCAGGGGGGCGGCGGTGGCTCGTTCCACGACGCGGAGCATGCGGGATACGGCCGGCGGAAGCAGCAGAAGCAGGGATTCGGGAAGCCGTCGGACGCGAAGCAGGGGGCGTCGTACCCTGGCACACAGGGAGGAGGTCAGGGCTACTCTGCGACGCAAGAGTACCACACGAGTTACCCTGCCATGCAGGGTAACCAGAGTTATCTTGAATCGCAGAACCAGCAGAGTTACTCTGCCGGTAACCAGGCGTACACTGGCGCACAACAACACGAGGGCAGCGCCGCGGTGTTCCAGCATTACCCTGCTGTGCAGAACCGCAAGGCCACGCAGTCTTACCCTGCTCGTGGATACTCAATGGAGCAGGGAGATGGCGCCACAGCGCACGACTACGGGCACCGCGATGCGGCGGACGTCGGCAGGCACGGCCAGCAGAGGGCGACACGATCGCCGTCGTCGTCGTCGTCGCTGCTGGGTAGCACTCCGCTTAAGCCGAGCTTGCCGTTGCTGGGGCTGACGCCGGCGAGCGCAGGATTCTTGTCTGCTGGCGGCTTGGCGCTAGACCGCAACGTCAGGTAAGGTTAGGTGTTACGCACATGAGAGTGGACGTGTGTGTGTGTGAGTGAGTGCATGTGTTAGAGCAAGTGCATGTGTGCGCGTGTGAGCGTGCGTGTGAGTGGACGTGCGTGTGTGAGTGAGTGCATGTGTGAGATCAAGTGCATGTGTGCGCGTGTGAGCGTGCGTGTGTGAGTGAGTGCATGTGTGAGAGCAAGTGCATGTGTGCGCGTGTGAGCGTGCGTGTGTGAGTGAGTGCATGTGTGAGCGGCTGTGTGTGTGCGAGCGTGCGCGTGTGACAGTGTGTGTGTGAGCACGTGTGTGTGTGTGTGCGGGCGTGTGTGTGTTTATGTGCGAGTGCGTGTGTGAGCGAGCGTGCATGTGAGCGCGCATGTGTGTGCGATCGCGCGTGCTTGGGAGCGTGCGTGAGAGAATGATGTCATGATCATTGCATGCATCAGAGCCCCGACCGTCTACCAGTTACATAGGTGATTGACATGAGGGTGCGAGTGTGGCATACATGATACTTCACCAGTGTAAATCGTCTGGAAGAGTGTTGACGAGACATCCACAGTCGCCCGATGAGGTGAAGCCTTCATCGTCGAGCCTTTCTCTCGATGCAGCTGTTGCAGGATTACATTATATACTATGTGATGCCAGATTTTGCCATTCTCTCTGACTCGCTGTGACACAAATAAGTGTATAATAAGTCACAGACTCACAAACAAGCCAATCCTTACCGAAATCCACTTGATAGACAGCATTCATTGATTCAATACAGGTTACAGGTAGAATTCCCTTCTCGACCATATAGAACTGAAGTCTATGCTCGTAATTTACTACTCGACTGTACTGTAAACGTCCACGTACGTACATTTATCATTATGGCTTGCCTTTACACACCATCACTTGACCTTCTTTCCCGCAAGCCTCACGGAATTGCATCTCGACCTGGTGTGACATAAGCTGGGTACAGACAGAGGTTCGCAGGATACTTTCCTTCTTCACAGCAGTTCTTTTAAGGCTGCTACACTGGTACATCATGGCAGGTTCCCCATGTGTCTGTGCAGAATCTCCACAAATCTGTGAGTTCACGCTGGCACCCGTGAACACATTACAGTTCACCGGATTTTCTCAAATCTCTTCCAGTTTGGTTAATTCCTCGAAAAATGTATCGGTTCGTACTATCCTTTAGTCCTTTATCAATCCAACGATATTTCGTCTTGTGTTTCGTATCCCACAACACTGTACTTAGGGTAACGGTACAGGGAAGAACAGCAGAACTGCTTCTGGACCCAAAACATGTTGATGCAATGTTCTGAGCATTCTACACATCTCCATGCCCTCTATTACACTCGCTGGCTAAGAATTCTTACTTGAAATCAGTGGTGCTGGCTGATTCCAACAGCCAGTATGCTTAGATAAACAGATTTGGAAGCGACAGACGAGAGCGCATCCCCTTGTGAGTAAGTGGACACTTTCCCACGGCGATTCATGTGCACTCTGGCCTCCAAAATTCTGTTGTATTGCACATGTTACATCTTCGACTGTGAGTATGTACGAGTGGTTGAAGGACCACGTCCAATTCTTCCTGGTTCCAGTTCACCCTGGCATCATCTTTGCTGCATTTGTACACAGAATCTCTACATGTGCGCCCGCACACAGTGACATTACACTGTGCACTGGTCACAAACGCTTGTATCATATAGGATCATATGCTAACTGTTCATGCTGGAAGCCAGCTGATGTATTACTGTCTCCCAGGCTCTATTGCCAGTACATTACCCACGCGTGACCCCCTCCCCCCTCCCCATCGCTGTCCTGAGTGAGCGCTGTGCATCACGTGGCAGCACTGTACAACAGAAGTGACGCGCGACAAGCCACAACCGACTCGCGCGTCAAGTCCGACTAACGAATCGCAATTTACACTGGTCTGTACTGGTTTACACTGGATCGCATCCTTTACCGGAGCGCACTGACCACTTCTGTTTGCTTTTCCATCATTTGGCCGCGATGCACCGATACATACCATCTACGAGCTTCCAAGAGATCGCAAAATCGCAGCTCCTCTTATGAGTGCTCTCATTATGATATTACCCACTGGAGACACGAAGGCACTGGCAAAGTTAACACCAGCAGCACGCGTCAAACACAGACTAGGCCCGTGTAGTGATTAGGTGACGTCTCCGATGCATGGACCAGTTATCATCTCATCACGTCTACACGGAAGGTCCCAAATCTGCGCTGTGTTCTAGAATGTACCCGATGTGTCCACTTTACATGCCTCATCTCACCTGCTGAGTGCTGATGCCCACGCTTCTCTGTCCCGTCACCCTGTATATGAACGTACGTGTATAGTACGGCAGGAGATCAGTCTAAAATGTGTAACTCGCGTGCAGCATAATAGGTGATTCAAGACTGCATCTGTAATGTTATACCACTTACCTGCCTTACCTTCGGGTCGCCTATAGATGGCACGATTGAGAAACACCTCGTGAGGGTTCATTCCATTCTGCGTGAGTAAGCAGTGAGTCTGGGCGGGTGAGTCGTACGTTTGCGCTCACGGTGGATCGTGATTCCGTGCCATTATAATGCATTTATTAACGCATTCGTGTGAATTAAAAATTAACGGTTAAGACGCGACGGTATCGTATTCCTAATTCCGTGGCGATCTGAATTTAGTGCGTCGCACGAGCGTGTGAACAAACAACTACGTGTCGTCTTTCCTCACTTGCTTTGTGCGAGGCGTCGTGTCGTGCCACGTGTACTTTCAACACGTCTCGTCGACAAAAGGTCATGGCAAGTCGCCGCAGCGTTGACAGGCGATACGCGACGGCGTCGTAACTATTACACTTCCTCCCTCTCCTGATTTCAGCGGCGGCGGTTCGCAATCCGGCGCATTCGACTGGCTGAAGCACGACGACGGCTCCATCCCGGGTCTCGGCTCGGGCTGCGACACCTCCAGCAGGCCGGCACCCTTCCCGTTCCTCCAGAAGGCGCCACCGCTGCACCGGCGACCGGTGCCGCCGACCGTGCCGCCTCCGAAGCAGGCGCCGTTCATGGCGACGGGGAAGAAGGGCGGCGCATGGCAGCCGGCGACATCTGGTGGCGAACAGCAGCTACCGTCGCTGATGCGGCAGAAGATGCGGGCGCCGTACCCCAGGCACTGACGCACGTGACGCAGGATGCGTACGTGAAGCAGGAGGCTAACGCACGTAGGTTTCTCTCTCTCTCTTTTCGTCGCTCCGATTTTTTCATTTATTCGTTTGCATTTCTCTGTCGTCCTCTCGTGCGCACGCATGGTGAGTGGTTGATGGCTGAGCATTTCCGATGCAGCGTCTGAGGTCAATTTGCTACAGTTTGCGATTTTTTATGATGGTGAAATGATTTGGATATTAAATCTGTAAATTTGGATCAAATTTGAATGGTCAACGTAGAATACGAGAGAGCAATGGAATATTAACACACTTTATTATATTATATCACCTTTGAGAATTATTTTAAACCTTTGATGCATGAAAATAGGCCAACAGGCCAAATAATATGCGTGCGTGCAATGAACAGTCGGGCCTCTATCATTTAACTTGATTCTCAGTCATTCGTAATAATCAGAGACTAAAGTGCAATATTGACTCAAAAATGTTGTGGTATCACAATATCCCCCGAGCCAAACCGTCTCTGTTCACCATCTCTTTCACAATTTTTGCATGTTTTCAGTCACGATGGCTTACGAGATTTCGTTATCGTTTACATTGTTTGTTTCCTCAACTTGTCTCTAGGGCCTTGGTCCACTAGCATGACCGCGACAAGAATGATGAGGGAGCACACATGAGGTCCTCTTGCAAAAGATAATGTTAGAGGTCGTCGCCCGAGAGGTCACGTTTGACGTCATCACCCAAGAGACCTCACACAGAGGTTTGCACACAAGAAGTTGCCAGTCGATTAGACACCGTTGTTTAACTGCACTTCTTGAGAAAGATGAAGCTGGTAATGACTACCTTTAGTCATTACACATTCGTGTATGCATATCTATATTCAGAAATATATTTCCAATAGATTTAGAAGTCAATCACTATGACTAGCACTGACAATGTAAATATATCTCCTAAAATAAAGGTTAAAAGTTGGATTTATTTGTTCGCAGATTTTAATTACGTGTTGTCATTAGATATTGTAGATGTAGTAATGCCACCTGTAATTACCAAGGGATCATATTTGTTTTCATAGTTTGTTTCTACGGTGTGCATATATGTTGACATGCGTCTTTGTAGTCATGGTATGTCGTAATGATGTGATGATCATATCGGTGAATCAAATAGTTCAAGAAGTGGTCGCGTAGAATCTAGAATGTTCCATTTGGTTTCATATTCGTTTTTGTTAACCAAACTGCCCTCTATTATATAAGTGAGACCCGAGTCAGCGTGCACTTGGGCACTTCACATCTGCTCTCTGGGGCAGTGAATAAGTAAAGTTGTGTCAATCGTCGTTTGTATTTGTATGTTTTTCCTTCTACAACATGGCTTAAAGTGGCTCTTGTAGCCGGAAAACCCCACGATTCGCGTCTCTGCTCCGTGTAACCTCTCTTATGTATAAAGAGTGTCTTGGTTAGAAATCACAGAATATAGCAGAGTGATGCATACTCGCGAGCATTTTTTTTTGTTTTTGACGGGAAGGAATTTTGTTTGTATGTACATCCGATGTAATTGGGTGTCGGAGAAAGAAATATAATAAGTAAATTAAAGCTAATTATAGAGATAAATGCAGATGAGTCATTGTTGTAAAGCTAGTATAAAGTTTCAATAAAAAAATACTTGCTTGATTCACTCTAAATAGAAAATAAATCTGAAGAAAAGGTGGATGAATTAGAAGGTATTTTCTAAGTAAGGGAGATATTGAGAGATGTGGTCCTGTGTTAGCATTAACAACGATTTTTAACTGTGAATTCAGTTTTACATGGATTTGTAGGGAGATTTTTTAGGCTTGCGAGTGTCAGCGCTGCTGTGGTACGAAACGTAGCGGGAATGGAAATATGTACCGAGAAAAAGTCCATACGTTAACTTTTACCTGAAAATTGTGGTACACCATCAGAATCCTACACTTTATAACTAAATTAGAATATAAATAATATAAGAAATTAACATTTACTGTTGTGTTTAATTTGATGATTTTTGGTCTCTAAAATCTAAGCCATGTAACGTATGAAACAGTACTAAAGCTGCATGTTGTATTATCAACAATATTTGTATTATAATCAACAATAAAGTACCGTTCTTGAACATGATTTGTTACTACTTGGGTGTCAATTGAATTATGTCGTCAACGTATAAAGCAGCGAGCAAAAAATCGCGAGTAGATCCATATAGAAATTTACAATGTCGATTCGTAATGTCAATAATTACAACTATCCAGAACTCCCTGGCGCGGTGACCATCATTGTGCGATCGCTCTTCTTGGAATAAATGGCTGACCAGCAAAGTTAAGAATATATTTTGTCGTGTACAAATTATTATCGATTGTCCCAAGTGGTTAAATCCATAATCATCAGCAGTTATTAGATAGAAAATATAGATAGATAGATAGAGATGAGAGAGAGAGAGAGATAGCGTGTGCACGTGCGCACTAACGAAACCCGCCGTGTTCCGTGGCGCATCAATCTTCATACGTATATCTCCATAACATAAAATACAAGGGAACAAAGCGAGTGCTCTTTGCACCAATCTACGGGACAGTATAATGTTTATTGCCTGTTCACCAGCAGAGACACGCGTAACAAGCACAGCAGAGTACAAACTTCCACCGATCCAACCTATACCCCTTCGCCGCCGGGCAGGCTGACAGCATCGCGCCACGATTCCCAGCTATGCTAATGTATGGGCAAATGGCGCTCCGACGTCAGTCGCCCTTGACTGCCAAGATAATTTTCTTTGGCCGTTCTTATACGTTCAAACTGGAGCCGGGCAGGCTGACAGCACTTGTGCATGGTAAAATCTGATCTACATCCTTCACTTCGCTCGCAGCATCGCGCCACGATTCCCAGCTATGCTAATGTATGTCATGTATGGGCTAATGGCGCTGCAACGTTGGTCGCCGTTGACTGCCAAGATCATTTTCTTCGGCCGTTCTTATACGTTTAAAGTGGAGCCGGGCAGGCGGACAGCACGTGTGCATGGTAAAATCCGATCTACATGCTTCACTTCGCTCGCAGCATTGCGCTACGATTTCCATCTATGCTAATGTATGGGCAAATGCCGCTGCGACGTCGGTCGCCGTTGACTTGTCCGTCGCCGTCGCTCGCTGTCCTTGGTACACGTTGCTCTACAGTTGAGAGGTGATCTAATAAAGCAGCCCAAGAACACCAAAACTAAGGTCAATGATGAAAATTGTATGGCATGTGTTCCAGAATCTGTGTACATGTTTCTGACCCTGTTGCTTGGTGGACAGGACCTGCTTGATGGGTTTGACCATATTGATCCTGTTGCTATCAGTAGACAACGAAACGTTATTAGCGTTAGTCAGGATCTTTTGTATGCTGTGTCCAACGGGACAAATATTCCTCCCAAGCAATATAGCATGGCCATGACTGTACACCAACATACTCGAAGCTCTGAGCTCATTACCCTTCTTTACCAGGATTTGCAGTGCATGCCGTATGATCAGACGCTCGCCGCAGATACCGCTCTTGCAGAGAAAACTTTTAAACATCTTGACCCTGTTACCGGCTCTGTAGTCCCGCGAAATTTGGTTTCAGGAAAGCAAGTAACTCAATGTGTGGATAATATTGATGTTTCGAAAGAATCATCAACAGCTGGTAACACTGGATATCATGGTACTCAGCATGCAGTTTATCAAGAAGGGTCAGGACTTCCAAATGTTGATGAGGATGTAATGATCTTCTCAAAAAGCTCATTGCAAGTCCCTGACATTCTAGGTGCTGTTGAGGAGGTCCAAGTTACCATTCTTAAAGACCCTCCTACTCAGAGTATAGCCCATGTCACGCTGGACACATTCAAGGTTGACACATCTCATGAGAATGCACCCCGTGCCATTGGTATGGCTTTCCTGTTGTCAGGGAGTAAGAAAACCTCTGCTGAGAAGGCAGCATCAAAGAAAAGTAATTGGACTGCCATGAACCAGTCTCTCCTGAGCGACAAGGAGGTTGAAAAAACAAAGGTTGGCTATATGCCTCTACTGAATTTCCCTGCTGATGATTACAGCACCCTGAACACCAAGTTTCGTCACGGGATCTATGTAGCTAATCAACTAGGCAACAATTATGTCATCTTTATTGTTGATCAAGCACTCTTCTGTAGAGCAATGGAACTCAAGTGGTCTGTTCCTGAATATAGAGACCGCCTGATCATTCGCCTTGGCGGTCTCTACATCCGTATGTGTTTCCTAAGCACGATCAGTGACCATGTGAAGGAGAATGGCGTGAAAGATACATGGGTAAAGGCTGGAGTGATCGGGCACCTCAAGGCAGATAAGATATTGCACGGGAAATTTTACAAGCTTGCTTAGAGGATTCACAAGCTGACCTGGCAAGCTATTTGGCGCATTCTCATTCCTCAGATATTGGAGTACTGCAAACAATTTGATAGAGACATGTATGATGATCTGAATGCTCTCTCTCCGATGGTGAGTGCCTCCTTCCTCTAATCCCCCGCTGCCAGCCGGGAGAAATATGCAACATGATGGCATATCATGGGGTTCATCACACAGAAGAAGACAGAGAGCAAGAACTTCACGATGTGGTGGGAATACATACAAATGGTGGAAATCCTGTTGATGTTTACACGTGGGCAAAGGAATGCTGACAGGGATCTTGCCTCCGGGCTATCCGGCTATCCTATAAGGCCATCCGTGAGGTAATCGCCTGCTAGTCATGAAGTGCAGGTTGCAACAGTATGAGGTGCAAATGTTTCAAGGCGAGACTACATTGCACACGCCAATGCCATCAAAAACTTCCATCTGGAGTTTGTGTAAACAGAGTATAGCTCATGTGACTGTGTAGTGTACTGTATATTACAGTGTATTCAGTAGAGTATAGGACTCTAAAGACTTTGATCTTGGCTGAAACTGTGTGACCTTTACCCCACATCATTACAAAACATGTAGCAATCAACTTTGCATGTTGCAAAAATACATCTTTACCCCAAGAACATCAAAGGGGACCCAGAGGTTTCTACGTTATGGTAATTACATGTGTTGGCTACGGCGGCCGTGTTGGCGGCCATCTTGGAATTTGACACCAGATCGACATCAAAACAGGTTGGAATGGCTTGGAAGTATCTTACCCTATCATAAATCAAGATAATGCAGGTAAAATGACTTTTTATAACATACGATAACATTTTGGTGCGATTTAGTGCGCTTTTAGGCGCCATTTTGAATCGCAAAATTGACCCTTTTAGAATATTTTTCGACTTGACATTACGCGGCATTGGATTCGGCGGGATTGAAAATGGTTAAAAATGATGAGAAATCAAAATGGTATTGGTTCCTACCGTGGGTCAGCATATTCTCGGATCTCAACCAGTCTACGACAGAATATTTCTGATCTAACGCGATTTTCCTATTCGTTCAGCCAATGAATCTGCTTCTTCTGGATATCCCTAACTCAGTGCTGCTAACCCCCGGACTTCCAAAATCTGGTGCTTTTTTCACTTGGGGGACTTCATAAGAAAGTACAAAAAACATAACATTAAAAACAATAGGAATCATATATTATTTATTTACAGGAAATCCATCGATAGGGTATTTATTAGAAGGAATAATATATATAATGTAAACGAGAATTTCCATGCACGGAATGAACATTGAACGAGTTGACGAACGTTTATATTAAAATTTTTTTTTTTAGAAATTGGACAATGAGAGGATCGCTTACGTATTCTGTGAGAAAAATACTGACATTATTCAGTTGAGAAGGGGATTCTGATAAATTAGTGAGCAGACCGGCTCTAATCTGGAGATTCTCGGCTCTAATCTGGAGACCTGGAGATGAAGCCAAAAATCTGGAGACTCCAGAATAAACCCGGAGGGTTGGCAACTATGCCAACTAATAATCACGAATACGGCTAGTATTTTTGAGGTCCCTGTAGAAAATCTATTGTTCGCGGGTTAGTGTAAACTCGTGATTGAAACCGAGCGAAATCCGCTACATAATTATACAGCCAGGTTAGTACCATAGAGTTGTATAAATATATAACTATATAACTCTAATATCTAACTCTATATATATATATATATATAATATATATAACTCTATATATAACTCTATATATAACAATATATAGATATAGGCCTAACAATATATATATCTATATATATAATATAAATATATATATATATATAATATATGTATATGCTACATATAGCTATCTATATGCTACTATATTGAAGCAATTGATTGTTACATATATTTATTTCTGACTCAGTGTTAATCATTAGTGTGCAGTATATGTGTACATCGGCCTTGGAGATGTTGCTCATCGACCTCAACAGTGCTCCATAAATATCACTTGCTAAATATGTATGTTTCTCAATTATATTCGCGTCATGTGTATACATTTCGATCTGTAATCGCATCAAAATAATCCTCAGAGAAAGCATTGATGTTACATAATTTATTTCTGACTCATTGTTAATCAATTATGTATCAGTAATAGTGCTACATCGCCTTGAGATGTGCTCCATTGACCTCAACATGTGCTCCATAAATTAACACTTGCTAATATAGGTATGTTTTCTCAATTATATTCGCGTCATGTTGATACATTTCATCGTGTAATCGCATCAAAATAACTCCTCAGAGAAAGCATTAATTTGCATGTTACATATATTATTTCTGACTCGTGTATAATCTTATGTGTCAGTTATATGTTACATCGCCTTGGAGATGTGCTCATCGACCTAAACATGTTGCTCCCATAAATTACACTTGCTAAATATGTATGTTTCTCAATTATATTCGCGTCATGGTATACACATTTCATCTGTAATCGCATCAAAAATAACTCCTCAGAGAAAGCATTGATGTTACATAGTTTCTGACTCATGTTAATCATTAATGTGTCAGTATAGTCGTACATCGCCTTGGAGATGTGCTCCGTCGACCTCAAGCATGTGCTCCATAAATTACACTTGCTAAATATGTATGTTTTCTCAATTTATTCGCGTCTGTGTATACATTTCATCTGTAATCGAGTCAAAAATAAGCTTCCTCAGAGAAAGCTTGATGTTACATAGTTTCTTGACTCATGTTAATCATTATGTGTCAGT